TTGGGCTTGGGCTTCACGCTGTGGGGTTTCGGGGTTCAAGGCACTTGGGCTGCAGGCACTTCCAACGCGGACTCAGACTCCAAAGGGCCCTAAACCCTAAACCCTAAACCCTAAGCCCTGCAAAGCCTGGTGAGGGTTCGTGTTGAGACACACAGGCCCTTTGTGCGGCTGACATCTCGAACATGATCGCGGCACTGTCAAACGGTCCTGCTGCAGGCGCATTCGCCTCGCCCATAACAGTAAGCACATGCTTTACCTGCGCGCATTGGAAACAAGGATTGTATGTTGTACATAATTATATATATATATATGGAAGAGGGACCACACACACACATATATATATATATATATAATTCATACATACATACATACATATATATATATATATGTGTACATACATGCATATACATGCATATAGTTGTATAGTTACATAGACCTATACAGATGTACACGTGTATATGCATATGTTGATATCTATAGATAGATGGCTAGAGCAAGTGATTTTGAGCCAAGTGACTTTTGAGCCCTTCTAGCAGGTGTTTGTGTTAGCTCGTTCTGCTACCCTGAACCCTGATTGAACCCTAAACCCTAAACCTTCAAACCCTAAACCCTCTAAACCCGAAGCCTAAACGCTGAACTCCAAACCGCAACGACCTGAAGGAGTCGCCACAACGTCGGATTGTGCGGATGTGCACGTTGTCGAAGACTTGGCAGAGGCTGCCGCCGCCAAGTTACTACTAATTGCCTAAGAACCCCCACCCAAACAAAAATATAATTGAAAACAACAAGAATAAGAATACAAATAAGAATAAAATTATTATTAACAATAATAACCGTCATAATAATAGTAATAATATTTGTAATAACAATAATAATAATAATAATAATATATATATATATATATATATAACATGATCCTGCTTATAAGGGCAATCTAGGGATTTTCATTTTTCATTTTTGGCGTTCTTCAGCAACTAGTAGTGTAAGTCCCTCCTTTCGAAAGTGCGAGTGGGCCTCTCAAGGTTGCATTGTCCTGTTGATTTGGGTTTAGGGTTTAGGGTTTAGGGTTTAGGGTTTAGGGTTTAGGGTTTAGGGTTATTACCTTTCAATGCCCCTTTTCCTCTTCTTGGGCCGTTTGTCTCGTGATGGTGTTCCCCCTTCTACTGACAGTCCTTAATGGGGATCCTAGTACCCCCCCGGATTATAATCCCCATTAAGGACTGTTTGTTTAAGGGGGGAACATGCCAAGTTTTACCTCTGGTCGCTTGAGTCAAGGTCGAGGTGAGACCCACATCGCGCCCTCCGCCTCCTGCATCTTCGATCCCCGAACTACCAGCGGTCCTCTCCGCAAGCTGAGCTTGAGGGCGGATCGACGTTTAGGGTTTAGGGTTTAGAGTTTAGGGTTTAGGGTTTAGGGTTTTGGGTCGAATGGTCCGTGAGCGTCCTGAGAGCCTAAACCTGTAAGCTGCAGTGCATACCGAAGTGGTGGCACTAGCTTGGCTGGAGCCCTATCGTGCGTAAGTTCTCGCCTATAGGACCTATGGGATCTTAGTAGTAGCTAAGTGAGTACTCTTTAGGCTTTTTGGGATACTCTAATCTCCTATCGAGCTGACAGTGTACATTTTTTTGGGGGGGGCTTATGAACTCGGCAACTAACCCTAAACCCTAAGCCCTAAACCCTAAGCCCTAAACCCTAGACGGTTCGCAGGAGTTGGGCCTTGTATCCTTTGCAGGCCAGAGCAGGTTGTTGGGATAGGGTTCCGCACAGCCTGAAAACTGCAATCCTGCTCAAAGAGCTGGGTGCTGGAGTTTTTCGTCCAGGGTGTAGGGTTTAGGGTGTAGGGTTTAGGGTTTAGGGTTTAGGGTTCAGTGTTTAGGGTTTAGGGTGAGCCGTAGGCAAACCTGACAAGTTCTTTGTATGGAATCAGGAATTCGGTATCTTATTGCCCCTCTATACGGCCTGTAAGGGGCTTTTGTACGGAACCGAATTCCCAGATGGGGGTTTACGAAATAGGGGACCCCTAATATACACCCCCAAATGGTAAGATTCCCTCAGAATAGGAACCCCAATAAGGTACCCCTAAACCCTAAACCCTAAACCCCTATATTCGGAAACCCCCACATATTCCTTACCAACAGCCAGTAGAAAACGACCACGGCCAAAGAGCTGGACGATGGGTCCGAGATGAGAAGCTGGCAAAATGAAAGCGTAAACCCTAGACCCTAAACCCTAAACCCTAAACCCTAAACCCTAAGCCCTAAACCCTAAACCCAAAACCCTAACCCTAAACCCTTGGTTTAAGGTTTAGGCTTGCATTTTAGCGAAGCCTTCACAGAAACTTGGGGGGTGTGCTTCTCTTAGTAGGGGCTGGGCTACTTAACCTTTATCCTTGCTGGTTACTCTATAGAAGCCCTATTCCGAAGACAAGGTTAAGCTATGTTGGGGCTGGGGGGTTCAGCCCCTCAGTTCTAGAGCTTTCGAACATGCAAATCCAATATAGCAGGCTTGCGAGCAACTGAGTTCACTATGGCGCTTACATGTAGAGACGCGAAGTGAGTGGCCTTCATGCGCTGCTGGTGTAAGGGGGAGGCAACTGTCAGATCTTCTTTTGAGGGCGGAACACTTGTTGGTTTCCGATTCTGGTTTCGTTGTTCTAAACCCTAAACCCAAAACCCTAAGCCCTAAACCCTAAACCGACAAGATCAATGCGTTCTTCATCAAGGGGCGGGCTGGTACAGCTGTTGCCTTTCCCAGAAAAACGGAGCTCGAAGCACCATGCACAACAATGTCGGTACATGCAGAGGGGAGGTATGAGATGACAAGGTGCTCTGTAAACCCCTAAACTCCATGTAGAGTCCTTAGAGACATCTGAAGGCGTTACTTGGGGGTTCAGGGTACTTAGTAACCCAATTAGAAGGGTCCTTAAGTACCCTAATAGGGTCATACTATAAGTACAGTTATAACTGGGTTACTAAGTACCATAAACCTCCCTCCAAGTTTAGGGTCGAGGGTTTATTGTAAGTATAGCTCTAACTGGGTTTCTAAGTACCATAAACCTCCAAGAAACCCTAAACCATAAACCCTAAACCCTAAACCCTTAACCCTAAACCCTAAACCCTAAACCCTAAACCCTAAACCCTAAACCCTAAACCCTAAACCCTAAACCCTAAACCCTAAACCCTAAACCCTAAACCCTAAACCCTAAACCCTAACCCTAAACCCTAAACCCTAAACCCTAAATCCTAAACCCTAAGCTTGAGTCTACTGCAAGCAGGCGGCCAAGACCTTGAGGAGGAGGGCATGCCCCGGAGGGCCCAGTGAGATGCTACAGCTCTCCTCCGGTGAAAGGTGGGAGCCGAGTCGCCCTAAACCCTAAACCCTAAACCCTAAACCCCAAACCCTAAACCCTAAACCCTAAGATGCCCCTGACTTCCCCAAGCCCGTAGCTGCCCTGATTTCCCGAAGCCCCAAGTTGCCCTGACTTCCCTAAACCCTGAGTTGCCCTGACTTGCGGTTTAGGGTTTAGGGTTTAGGGTTTAGGGTTTAGGGTTTAGGGTTTAGGGTTTAGGGCTTAGGGTTTAGGGTTTAGGGTTTAGGGTTTAGGGTCTAGGGTCTAGGGTCTAGGGTCTAGGGTTTAGGGATAGGGTTTAGGGTTTGGGGCCCTATAAGTTGCCCTGACTTCCCTAAAGCCTGGTTTCCTGACTTCCCTGAACCCCCTAAGTTTCCTGAACACTTCGAGAACCCGAAACCCGAAACCCATCGGCAACCTCCACGTCTCCCTTCTCGGGTGATTTTCAGCACTGCTGGGGTGTGCAGTGCAATTATCCTGAGCGCTGCCCTGACAAAAAGGGACGAGCGCCCGTCGTTCGCTTAAGGGCAACGGCTTATGACCTCAACCAAAACCCTAAACTACTGTTTGCTTAAGAACACCCGAAAAAAACAATAGTCCCTATATTACCCGTATATAAGGAAGTATATTTTGTTTTCTTTGGGAGGGGTTCTTTAGCAAACAGTAAACCTCAAGCCCTAAACCCTTTAAAATGAGATCACGGGGGACAGGGTAAACCCTAAACCCTAAACCCTAAACCCTAAACCCTAAACCCTAAACCCTAAACCCTAAGGCTCCCGGCCTTCAGGGAGTTTTGGGAGTTTGGGCTTTGGCTGGGCTAAAGCTTGAAGGGCTTAACAGGGTTTAAGAGGTATGAAGGGGTTTAGGGTTTAGGGTTTAGGGTTTAGGGTCGAAGGTTTAGGGTTTAGGGTTTAGGGTTTCCGAAATTAGAGGTACCTTTTGGGGGTCCTTCATATAAACGAATCCTACTTTGTTTTTTTTTTTTTGGGGGGGGGGGTCTATTTGGGGGGTCCCTTATATTCGTAAACTCCCATGCGGTTAGAGGGCTTTAGGGTTCCCCTGAGGCCAATTAAAACCTTGATGGATGACACTAAAACCCAAAACCCCACAACCGTCAACCTTAAACCCTCTAACCTAAATGGGGGGGTGTGCCACATTAGGGGTACCTCATTGGGGTCCTTAGTATAAGGAGATCCTACAGTTAGGGGATCTACTTAATTGGTAGCCCAGTGGTACCCTTTACTTTTTGTTTTGCTCTGGGTTCCCTTTATAAAGTAACCAACCAAAAAAGGGGTGCCCTTATTATAACCCTAAGGGTCCATGTACCTAAATGTGGAGTACTCGGTCCTTAAAGTACTTCCTATGTAGGGACTTTGGGGCCCAAGTGCGTAATAATAAGGTACATGGACCCTTAGGGTAATATGGTTACTGGCTACCAAGTTTATATTGAGTGGTCCCTTATTTTCGTAAACCCCCAACTCTTCGCCCATCTTCTGAAGAGGGACAAGCTCCAGTCTTTGCTTCGGGCTGGGGTTTAGGGTTTAGGGTTTAGGGTTTAGGGTTTAGGGTTTAGGGTTTAGGGTTTAGGGTTTAGGGTTTAGGGTTTAGGGTTTGGGAATTTGGGCTCGCAGCCGGCATTGCTTTCTTTTGATGGCAGCTACCATGCAGGCCGGTCCCCCTGAATCCCGAAAAAAGGCTGAACCCTGGTTTAGGGTTTAGGGTTTAGGGTTTTAGGGTTTATCCCCAACCAGCGCTACAAAGTCGAAGGTCGTAGGCTATACCTCCCGAAAAACACAGGGCTCCACCCCAATAGTCGTAAGTACATGCAGCCCCAGGTGCCTGAAACCCTAAACCCTAAATCCTAAACCCTAAACCCTAAATCCTAAACCCTAAACCCTAAACCCTAAACGCTAAATCCTAAACCCTTCCCCCCCCCCCCCCGCTCCACCCAAACCACCAAAAAACAAGACAAGCTAGTACTTACAGCCCTAAACCCTAAACTCTAATCCCTGGAACCCTAGAACCCTAGAAGCCTAGAACCCTAGAACCCTAGAACCCTAGAACCCTAGAACCCTAGAACCCTAAACCCCAAACCCCAAAACCCCAAGGAATATTCCGAGCCCTGAATGTTGCACGAATCGCGCTCGCCAGCCTTTTGGGATGAACAGGGCTTTGAGAGGTTTAGGGTTTAGGGCAAAGGGTTTAGGGTTTGGGGTTTAGGGTTTAGAGTTTAGGGCTTCGGGTTTAGGGTTCAGGGTTTCGGGTTTCGGGTTTAGAGTTTAGGGTTTAGCAGGGCTAATGTAGCGTTTACTTTCCAGCCCTAAGCCCATAGAGGCAATCGCTACAATCTCAAAACGCTGAACGATAACCCCCCCCCCCCCCCCATAAATCCCTACCCTGAACATCAACCACGAACCCCCAGACCCCAAACCCCAATCCTGAAACCCCAAAACGCACCCAAACTCTAAGCCCCTAAGCCCGAACTCTAACCTCAAACCCCGAAACTCCAAACCCCCAAAACCCGAAGCCCTTAACTGGCGAGAGTGGCGCTGACCATGCACACGCCTCAGCATCCCAGACACCAGGGATGATCCAAGAACTAGATCCATTCAAGCCTTCAAGGCTTCCTAAGAAAGACCCAATAGTAGCATAGGGTACTTTTTTTTTTGGGGGGGGATGCGTTTTTTGGAGGATTCCCCTGAAACCCTAAACCCTAAACCCGAAACTTCCTAAACCGGTACTTTCGCCCCCGACGAGTCACCCTTAAACGAACCCTACACCCTAAACCCTGAACCCTAAACCCTAAACCCTAAACCCTAAAACCCTAAAACCCTAAACCCTAAACCCTAAACCCAGCTTACGGGCTTACAGATCGGCTCACAAGCTGAGAGAGTAACAGCAAGAAGCCCCCGTTGGCAAGGGTATTGGGCTCAAGACCAAACCCCCAAACCCCACACCCCCCAAACGCCCAACCCCCAGACCCTCTAAACCCCAAACCCGAAACCCCATTTCCGAAACTCTAAACCCTAAACCCCAAACCCTAAACCCCATATCCGAAACTCTAAACCCCAAACCCCAAACCCCAAACCTGCTCGACCCTGAACTGCCAGGTGCACGGGCCGACATGGCAGGACTCGCTGGGCAAACTCCGGGATGCCCTTGCTGCTGGTTATGAAGCTTAGGGTTTGGGGTTTAGGGTTTAGGGTTTAGGGTTTAGGGTTTAGGGTTTAGGGTTGTTCAGGGTTTAGTGGCAAGGGTTTTACGGTGGTTCAGGGGTTAGGTTTGGGGTTTAAGAGGGTGGAGGGTTTAAGGTTTCAGGTTGTTTAGAGGTTAGGGTTTCGGGTTGTTTAGGGGTTAGGGTTTGGGGTTTAAGGGTTGAGGGTTCGGGGTTGTTCGGGGTTTAGGGGTCTAGGGGTTAGGGTTTAGGGTTTCAGGGTTGAGGGTTGTTTAGGGGTTATAGGGTTTAGGGTTTCAGTGTTGAAGGTTTAGGGTTTCGGGTTGTTTAGGGTTTAAGGTTTTGGGGTTAACTACTATTTGCTTAAGAACCCTCCCACGACAGTCTTCCGTATGAGGCCCAGATAGGGGGGCTCTTAAGCAAATGGTAGGTTCTGATTTTTCGGGCTCATAGTTCAGGAGTTTCGGTGTAGGGGTTCATGGGTTTAGGGTTCAGGTTTCAGGTGCTTAGAGTTTGGGGGCTTGGAGATTAGGATTTAGGGGTTGAGGTTGTAGTTTTGGGCTCAATTATGTCAAAGTTCTTATGCATCCAGGAGGTGTGCACCGCAGCAAGTCCCACGTGCTAGTTAAAGTTTGGGTCCAGGGTTGTGGAGCTTGTGTTTGGGCCTATTCAGGGCTGAGGGGCTTCCGAGTTTTTGCGTTGAGGGGTTTTAGGACTTAGGGGTTCAGGGTTGAGGGGTTAGGATGCAAGTTTCTTCTCCTCACCCTAAACCCTAAACCCTAAACCCCCTGAACGTAAGACTCGAGAATCGGGTGAATGAGCTTTTTGGCTGCAAGGCTTAGAGGGTCATGGGCGAGTTGGTGTTCCTCCCTAAACCCTAAGATCGATTGGCCCTCCACCCCCCGAAACCCCCTAAACCCTCTAAGAGTCCCTATAAACTCTCTCATTCCCATCATCCCAAGAGCCCATAAACCCCCAACAAGCCCTCAAAACCCTCAAAACCCTAAACTCCAAAACCCTCCGAAGGTTGGCCCTCGGCCGATGCGGTCGGTGAATTCGCTGATGAATTCATGTGGCAACTCAGCTGCTGATTCATTACCCCCCCCCCCCCCCAAAAAAAAAAAGAAAAACATTCATAACCCCCCCCCCAAAAAAAAAAAAAAAACGTGCAAGCTAGTGAGGCAAAGCGCAGCACTGGGCACTGGCGCTGGCCTTCCTGGGCGAGCTTCTGGCTTCTAACAAGCCCGAAGCCCTAAGCCCTAAACCCCAAACCCCAAACCCCAAACCCTAAACCCTAAACCCTAAACCCTAAACCCTAAACCCTAAACCCTAAACCCTAAACCCTAAACCAACCCTAAACTGGTGTATGGTCTAGTGTTCAGGGCTTTGATTACTGGATCTGGGTCGCGGCTCGGGATGCGCTCCTAAGCCCTAAACCCCAAAACCTAAACCCTAATAAATCGTGAGCCCCTAAACCCTAAACCCTAAACCCTAAACCCTGAACCTTGAAAAGTATTCTTTTTCCCTAAGCTTGCCGCCGATGGTCGAAGGATGATGCTAGTGTGATCCCGCTGAATAAAGAAGATGGTCGGGAAGCAACTGCCACAATACGATGGATGTTGTCCCGAACAATTGTCGTGGGAGCAGTTGGGGAGGGGAGGCGGGCGGGCGGGGGGGGGGGGGGGGGGGGAAGGGGGCGAGGGGCGGGAAGGGAGGGTCTGAGTGTGGAAATCAGCCCGGGAAATTTTGCGTTGTGGGAGCAGGGTGTGGGGTTTGAGGGCTGTTTCAGGGGCTTCGGGTCCTCCCTCTGAAAAGGGACCCAGGGCTCAATTCTGACAATCCATGTATTAATTCTTGAAAGCCACCAAAAGAGCCCGCAAAGGCTTCCAGGCCTTCGGTTGCATGCCGACGTCTTCACCTTTGGTGCCGCCATATCTGCATGCAAGAGAGTCTTGGTAGCTCAGTGAGTAGACTTTGCACCCTTTTTTTTGGATACTCTTATCCCTTTAAAAGAACTGCAGGCGTACACTTTCTATTTTTTTTTGGGGGGGGGCTTGTGAACTCAGCAACTTAAGGAGTACAGCAGTGGGGACATGCTGTCCATTTGCTGGCGGATCTGGAGGCCCAAAGACTGCAATCGGATGCCATCATCTTCAGCAGTGCCTTAGGGATACTTGGAAATGATTTCTGATTTTTGTGTACTTTAATTCCTAAGAAACAGCATTTATTATTTTTTCTTTTTTGTGTACTTTAATTCCTAAGAAACAATATTTTTAAAAACTGTTGCTAGGGTTCCAAGTTCAGTCTAGGTGCCATCACGGCCTGCGAGAAGGCCTCGGAGTGGACTGCTGCGCTGTCGCTTTTTGCAGATCTCCGGAGCAAGAAGATTCAAGGAGATGCAGTCGTATCTTGGTGGCCCAGTGGTGCCCTTTGCCCTCTTTTTGTTGGTTATGGGTTATGGGTTCCCTTGTAAACTAAGCTAGCCAAAAAAGGGGTGCCCTTATTACAATACATGGTTACTGGGCTACCAAGGTATACAACGCTGCCATCAGTGCCTGTGAGAAGGGGATGCAGTGGCCACAGGCACTTCAGGTTTTCACCTCTTTGCAGCAAGGCCGTCTGCAGCCAACGCTCATAAGCTTCTCCTCTGTGATCAGTGCGTGTGAGAAAGGTGACCAGTGGCACCACGCTCTGCATTTCTTCTCTGAGCTTGAGGTAGCTCGCATGCGACGAGATGTCATCGCCTACTCCTCCATCATTGCAGCCTGTGAGAAGGGTGCACAGTGGTCCTTGGCCTTGCACTTGCTGTCGAGGATGCACTGGGAGCGCATCAACTCCAACATCATTACTTTCAACTCGACCATGAGCGCGCTGGGGACCAGGGGGGAGTGGCAACGTGCTCTAGCGCTCTTTGCCGAGCTCTCTGACCATGGGCTGCAGGCAGATGCAGTGACGTACAATGCTGCAATGCGGGCCTGCGAAGAAGGCGATCAGTGGGTCAGTGCACTGACCTTGCTTGCGGAACTGGAAGAACACAGGCTTCGCGGCACGGTGGTGACTTACAACACTGCCATAAGTCTGTGCAAGAATACTGATCAATGGCCACTGGCCCTCCACCTTCTGGGAAGAATGGCCTTCAAGCAGGTTCCTTACAAATGCTTGGACATATTTTTCTTAATTTGTGGGTACTTTAAGTCCTAAGAAACAGCTAAAATTACAATTTTTGCCAGGGTTTCAAGTTCCGTATAGGTTCAGGCAGATGTCATCACCTACAGCGCAGCCATCAACGTGCCTTGTCGCGCAAAGAGGCAGCACATGAAGGCATGGGGACACCTGCCGAGTGAGATATGGGGGTTTACGATATTCGGGGGTCCTTGTTTAAACTATTTGGGGGTCTATACTCGGGGTCCCCTACTTTCGTACACCCCCATCTATCTCCCGAATGAATGCGGCGTGTACGGGCCCCCCTACCCAGGAATCCTGGTATCCCTTTATTTAGGGAGTCTTCCTTCAATTGTAACCGGGCCGCCGAATGTGGTCGAAGGAACATTCTCTAACTAAGTTCCCTTTTGAAATGCAAGTTCTACATAGGGCATACTGCATACTGTAGGGCTTCAGGGAGAGGACTCCATACTCAAGACTAGACTACTAGACTAGACGCCCTGAACAAGCCGAAAGGGACCTTGAAAAAGGGAGGGCCCACACTGCTGTGCACAGAATCACTTGACACGCCCAAGCCACCCTCAACCCTAAACCCGAAAGCCTAAACCCAAAACGCAGCATACTCAGGCCTGTGAGAAGGCGAGCGATTGGCAGAGGGCGATGTCGTTGCTGGATGATCTTCATCGCGGCAGCATCGAGGGCAACGTGATCACATACACGTCGGTCCCTTCCATTGAACATCCTGGAGTTTTGTCTTGGCGGTATTTTCCTGATCTTCATGTAGGAAATAAGTATGATCCCCATGTTAACTAACCATGAATAGTTCCCCTAAACCCCAAACCCTACACCCTAAACCCTAAACCCTATACCCTAGAAGACGAAGCAAACGTAAGCCGGCATTGCTGACGGTCTTCCGGCAGGTGATGGCAGTCCCCGGATTTCGTAGGACCAAAGCTTTGGTGCCAAACGGCCTCGCCCAAGATCCTACACCCTACTGTTGTAGGGTTTAGGGTTTAGGGTTTAGGGTTTAGGGTTTAGGGTTTAGGGTTTAGGGTACCCTCTTTACTGTTGTGCCCCCCCCCCCCCTGAACAGTCGAGGCTGGATTTGTCCCTGTTTAGACGCTGCCAGGGGTTTATATGATTTCAATAGGGAGGAGTTTAGATAAGTTTAGAAGGGGCAGCGATGCCCGGCAATCGTTTTTAAAAGCGCGCCACGTGGAATTTTCTTACGGCGCTCGGACGATTTGACTTTAAACAGGGACTCCCAAACTGTCAGGGGGTCCTGAACAACCCAGCCAAATTGACTTTATAGAGGAGGCCCCCACAAAACCAGATGCAACATTGCAAGCCTTGTGAACCCTATAAGCCCCATACTACAAGCCCTACAAACCCAGACAGCCTCAACCCTACAGGAGAAGCCCCAGAGTACCAGCCCTATAGGCTCTATATAAACCCCAAACCCTAAGGCTCCAAAATAGCCCCAAAGAAGGCTGTAGACTTTAGACCCCGATGTAGGTGTTATTCGTATACTTGGAGCCTTAGGGGAAGCCTAAACCCTAGACGCTGTAGACCCAAAACCCTCAACCCCAGACCCGAAACCCTAAAACCCCTCCAGCCAAGGCCATGAGCGCGTGCGAGAAGGGGGGCGAGTGGACCTTGGCGCTGCGCTTGCTGAGCGACTTTGCCGCTTCGGGTCTGGAAGCAAATGCCGCTCAGAGATTGGGTTTAGGGTTTAGGGTTTAGGGTTTAGGGTTTAGGGTTTAGGGTTTAGGGTTTAGGGTTTAGGGTTTAGGGTTTAGGGTTTAGGGTTTAGGGTTTAGGGTTTAGGGTTTAGGGTTTAGGGTTTAGGATTTATATGGCTCAGGTTTTGGATAAGCTGATAAGCTCAGATGTCCAAGGTGAAGTCCATTAATGCTCCTTAGCTTCCTGAGGTGGTTACTTACAACGTGGCCCTTTTCGCCTTTGCCGGGGGTGAGCAGTGGCAGCAAGCCCTTCACTTCTTTTCGCAGTTGGCGGCCGCCTCTGTGCAAAGTACCTTAGTAGCTGAATCAGTACGCTGTTTACACTTTCTGGGGTACTAGAATCTCCCATAGAGCTGAAAGTGTACACTTTTGGGCAGCTTACGAACTCAGCAACTAAGGTACCGTGATCACCTTCAACGCGGCCATGGCCGTCTGTTCGAGTCAAGGGCAGTGGGAGCAGACCTTAAGCTTGCTGTCTTCGCTGTCGCTAGCAAGCATGCAGGGAGACGTCATCACCGTAAACACAGCGCTCAACGCATGCGCTTGCGGCCAGCAGCGGCGGCATGCAGTCCGACTCTTAGCAGAGCTTGAGGGCAGAGCATGGGCAGCAAGCTATGAGGTGGGAAAATCAGCACGAGCTTTGCCGCTGTGGCTGGTTGAGACTCTTGCATGCTGTGCTAGATATATCACATGCGAATGGCGCATCTAATTGCAGTGTAGGTGCAGTGTGCTTGATCATGGAAGTGTTCCTGGCTGCTTCGGTGGCTAGGACGGCCTCAACCCCATCGGCCCTTTGCACCTCATACTTGGTTATTTCTGTCAACTGAAGCGGTAGTTGTTGGCAAGCAGCGCTTCTGACTCGATTGGCTCAACAGCGCCACACGTTCTAGCAACCTCGGCACTCCCTGTGGGGGGTGCAAGCACTTTGCTTGGCGTTTCTACGTTCTTTTTCAGGCACCGCACTTGTGCATTTGAGGGGAACGCGTACATGGAAAGACTGTGAGGGACTATATGCGTTCATACTGTTGAACTGTGCTTCTAAATATTGTACATATAATCATAAATATACATATAAAATATAAACATAGATGTAGATATAAACATAAACAGAAAAAGAAATCTACATAAATGCTATACATACATACATGCGTACATACATACATACATACAGACATACATACATACATACAGATATGTGATGCATGATAGGTTGGCTGGCTGGCTGGCTGCTGGTTGGTTGGTTGAGTTGGTTGTGGTCATTTCGTGCTTGCACCTGGCGCTTTACCAACTTGAAATAACGAACATCGTACGAGGTAATCCGTGAGTTTCCTGGAGGTGAACGTCTGCCACCTCATGGATCCAAGTAGATCACAAAGTTTATAGGGTTTAGGGTAACAGGGTTATAGGGTAGAGGGTTAGAGGATTTTTTGGGTGTTGGGTTTATGAGGTTAGTAGCTACAATCATTTGGGCTTGGAGGGCCACACCTGTTAGCCGTCGTAGCATGCCTGCCTGTGCAGGCCTTCCATATGTACGGAACATTCAAGGAGCGGGAAAGGACCTCGCAAGAAGTCGACCGCCGCCTGTCTGCAACTGTGCACGGACTCTGTCAGGGAAGCGTGTATACGCGGCCAGCCAAGAAGGCCGCAACGCATGTCCAAGCAAGCCCTTTGTTAAACCTTATAGTGTGGGAATACGGACCCCTTCTACCCCCTCCTACCTTGCACCCCCTTTGGGGTTTAGGGTTTAGGGGTTTAGGGGTTTGGAGGTTTAGGGGTTTAGGGGTTTAGGGTTTAGGGTCCCATCTTAGATCCTCTGGGCCAAGGACACCGCCGGCGGGAAGCTGGTGATGAGGATGAGTTCCCGTGGTTCATGGTGATCCTTTTCCTACTGACCCTGGGCCACTTGGCTTCGGGGTTATCAAGTAGCCAACCCAACGAAGGGTTTAGGGTTTAGGGTTTATAGTTTAGGGTTTAGGGTTTAAGTAGCCAACCCAAAGAAGGGGTATGGTTGCTGGGCTACCAAGGGGGGAGTGACACAAAAGCTTCCCCCTTTTAGGAATTACGGCTTGTTGTTTTGTTGTTTATACAAGGTTGTAAGAATCATAAGGCCCAAGGGACACGTTCTATTCTTACTACTTCTAAGGGAAATATAGAGGAAGAAGAATGACGAAGGCGTTGCCCGAATTTCGGGGGTTTAGGGCTTGGGTTGGTGGCCTTGTCGAGGGTTTAGGGTTTCGAGTTTAGGGTTTAGGGAACTAAACCCTAGACAGGTTGTGTAGGACCCTAGGATTCGTAGGGGTTTAGGGCTTTATTCGGCTTCCATAGGGATTATCGGGTTCAGCGGTTTTGATTGGGGATCTTATTCGGTGTTTATAGGACTTACAGGATTCAGGGTCAGAGAGCTTAGGCTTCGGCGTCTGGCAGTTTAGGGTTTCGGGTTGAAGTGCCCTAAACCCTAAACCCTAAACCCTAAACCCTAAACCCTAAACCCTTGTGCTTTCAAGGCTTAGGGGTGCGTCTAGCCGAGGCGCCTATGGATTCGTGATGTATGGCTGCTGGGACACATCTCGGCGCATTGAGGTGTTGGCCGCCAGGTCTGCTGAACATGGCAATGTACAGGGGTCCTGAAACTTCGGGAGGATTTAGGGTTTAGGGTTTAGGGTTTAGGGTTTAAGGTTTAAGGTTTAGGGTTTAGGATGATCAGCCCCCGGACATGAACAAGATCCGCGATCCCCGTCACTGTTGGTGTCTGCACCATGCGAGCAGATGTTAGTTACACGCCCATACACCCGTCCTGCACAGATGCGCAAAGATGGCGTTGTAGTTTCTTTGTGCCATTTGGGGTCAAACCCCTATCACTTCTGAACACCCTAAACCCTGAACCCTAAACCCTAAACCCCAAGCCCTAAACCCCAAACCCTAAACCCTAAACCCTTAAGCCTTAAACCCCTAAACCCTAAACCACCCCAAAGCCCCATGGCCAGGTCGGAGAACGTGCTCACCCTCACTGCGTCCGTCAGCGACGCCATGGGAGGCTGGTGGCCTACGACTCGTAGTCTGTCCATGCATCCCAAACTTCTTCAGAACTCCCAGCGGTAAGAAGAAGCGGCCACGTCGCACGACACCCAGGAGTGGTTGTCAACACGGCCCACCAAGGGGAGGAGGCACACGCAATCCCAAGTTGTCCCGGTTTAGGGTTTAGGGGTTAGGGGTTTAGGGTTTAGGGTGCAAGGTACTTATACTGAACCCTGGGAGCCTATGACCTGAAAGTCATGTCTATGGTACTGGGGTTTAGTCATTTATAAGGAGCCATGGACCTGGCTGGTTATGGCCTTGTCCGGCAGCTCTACCTCCTACATAGAACGATAAATTTCTTAAGAACCCGCCCCCAAAAATGGAAAGCATTCTTCTTCATAAGGGAAGTTTAGGGATTCTTCTTTTAATTATTATTGTTATTATGTTTTTTTTGGGGGGGAGAGGGGGCTTCTTATAAGCAAATAGCAGAGAAAGGTATCGAAAAAGACTCCTGTGCAGCGCAGGACAGCGGTCCCAAATTAGGACCCCGCGTTTTCTTGGTCTTGCTCCTATCAGGGGTCAGGGTTTAGGGTTTAGGGTCAGGCTTTCGGGTTTTAGGTTGAGGGGTTGAGAGCCTCAACCCTAAACCCATCCAGACCCTGAACCCTAAACCCAAAACCACGTAAACCCTATAAACCCTATAAACCCTATAAACTCTATAAACCCTATAAACCCTATCAACCCTATAAACCCTGTAACCCCGATAAACCCTATAAACCCCGAAGCCCCCAAACCCTCAACCCTAAACCCTATGCTTGGCGATCCTTGGTTTCGCACGCCGTGTTGTCTTTGTCCCGTTGAGGAAGCGTTTTTTGTTCTTGTTTAGCTGTTTTGTTTGTTTATGTTCTTTATATTGGGTTTGGGGGTTTACGACCCTTGTTCTTGAAGCTTATAGGATTCGGGTTAGGGGTTAAGGTTAGAAGCTTAGGATGATGGTGGGAGTTGAGAGTTTAGGGGTCCAGGCTTTGAATCAAGGGTTCAGGGTTTAGGAGGATCAGGGTGTAGGGTTTGAAGCTTTGGGTTTAGGATTTAGGACTCGTCGGGGTGGCAGATGTGCGCGGCGAGGCCATCTACGGAGGTTTGGACCAGCTCCTCAACGAATCCGAGAACGCACTGCTCGAGGCAGGTGTCGAGTTCGAGCCACAAGTCCGGCACGCTAAACCCTAAACCCTAAACCCCAGACCCCGGAAAATTCTGAGGGCTGCCATTGCCCCCCTCTTGGCACCCGTTTTTTGGTTCTGGGTTGCCTTGATTCAGCAACCAACCCCCAAAACAGGGTGCTCTTTTTTCAGTATGGGTGCTGGCCTACCAAGCACTCCAGCGAAATCTGCACATTTTGTTTGTCTTCAAACGAGTAAAGAGGGCCTGGATTTTGTTTTCGGTGTTTGTTCAGGGTTTAGGGTTTAGGGTTTAGGGTTTAGGGTTTAGGGTTTAGGGTCGTTCCCGTTTCCTTATCAGGTCCCCATCAGCCCAACCCTGCGCCCCAAATTGCCGACTGATGGCCTGAGCAGGTTGGTCTGTGTAGGGTTTAGGGTTTAGGGTTTAGGGTTTAGGGTTTAGGGTTTAGGGTTTAGGGTTTGGGGTTTAGGGTTTAGGGTTTAGGGTTTAGGGTTTAGGGTTTAGGGGTTGAGTTCATGGCAGCTCAAGTCGGCAAGTCTACCGAAGGGGGTCTTCTCCAAGGAGCCTCCGAGGCTTGGCATCAAGGACTTCCTGCTGCCCTCATGGCGAAAACGAGTCAGAAACTAAGCGACGTAGTTTAGGGTTTAGGGTTCAGGGCACACAATTACTGCATGAGCTCCGGATTTGCCAACGACTTTGGGCCGGGCGCACTGGCAGCAAGGCCAAAGCCAACAGTTCAGGAGAAGCACGCATCTGACGAAGACTCCACACCTCTGTGCGTAGCCACCGGCCCATGTTTTGCAGGACGCAGCAAGAGGAACATGCTCTCCAGCTCGTCCAGGACAATGCCAGCAACTCTGGCTGCGCTGCCCGCATCACGATGAGCGCGGGCGAGCGCAGCGCGAGCCAGCAAAACGAGTTGGCCACGGCCGCGCGCCACTTCTGGCCTGATATGATCCCCGGAACCCTCCCGTAAAACAGGGAAAGCCATGCACGGATATGATCCGTTTCATGTGCGACCCTAAACCCTAAACCCTATAAAGCCTGATCCGGCAACCATGTACGAACGCGAGCCCCTGGCCGCCCCCAAGACACTAGAAGGGCTGAGAGCCAAGGCCCTAAACCCTATGGGCAATCGCATTACATTGCGTTGCTGTTTGGGTTGAGGATGAGAGGATGAGGGGGGTTGAGGGGGAGATTTTTGGGCCTGAAGGGGTCCTCCTTGGTTTCAGGATTAAGGGCTTGGGACCTTAGGTTGAGGCAGCGGCTTCGGTGAGTAGAATTCATGCTGTTTCCGGCCCTTTTCCCTCCACACACACAGAAGATACTTGCAAAACAATATGAGTACCTAGCGCACGTTGTGGACCTGCTAAGACATGCGCGCAGGCCCGAATCCTGCAACGGACGGTGGCGGACGCTTCCGGCACACTCAACGCCACTGTCCAGGCCCGCGCGAGTTCTCGTAGCAAGCTGCAAGCGGCAGTCCGCCACAGCCACGGGAGGATTTCTGGAACTTAGACTTGGCATTCCTCCTTAGAGATGTGCCCCCAAAATCCTGCGCCCTCAGCAGCAGAACCCTAACCATTGCGGCCTGTTCAGGAGGAGTACTCCAAGCTGCTTGTCTTCGAAAACGACCTTGAATGCCTCACAGCAAGGTTACGGTTTAGGGTTCAGTCAACAACTCTTTTCGGATGGTAATTTGAATGTTCTGTTAAGTACACAGAGCCCGTGGTTCTAGGCTGGTAACCTGCCATTCCCTTTGGCCACGCGGCTGGATGGTTCGGCTTGTCCTTCTGCAGATGTCATGTTGATAAGGACATGGTAGAGCCCCCCTCATTGCGCGCATTCTTGAAAACCTTGAACCCGAAATGTACATGGGGGTTTCCGAAATTAGGGGGGGGGGGGTACCTTCTGGGGGTCAATATTACAAGGGAATCCTACCATTCGGGGGGGGGACTATACTAGGGCCCCCTTGTTTTCCTAAACCCTAAACCCTAAACCCTAAACCCTAAACCCTAAACCCTAATATATTTCCGTTCTGGTCCCAGGCTGGTGATGCTTCTCTACGCCGAGTCGGAGCGCATCTCCCTGGCCCTGACAGGCCTGGTGAAGAGACGGGGGCTAGGGTTTAGAGTTTTAGGGGTTTAGGGTTTAGGGTTTGGGGTTTGGGGTGTGGGGTTTGGGGTTTAGGGTTTAGGCCTTTGCTTTAACACAGGGTTTGCCCCTAAGACTCTACACCCCACAGACCCAAGAATCACAACGGCTGTAGCTAAAATCTTCCGCAGCTTTAAGCCCTAGACCCCAACACCTAGACCCGAGACCCCGCCCCTAAACCCTAAACCCTAAACCCTAAACCCTAAACCCTAAACCCTAAACCCTAAACCCTAAAACGACAAGGCATGCAGTATGCGGCTCAGTCCGCAGCGGCCAAAGCCTTCCTGGACTCCGTGGACGCATTGGTCTCCACGTGCCTCAGTTGTCTCCAGATCGGTCTACAGACCGCCAGCCTACTTTCCCAAAGGATCCATGTACCTATATAGTATATTCTTGGGCCCTAAAGCTACTATATAGGAACCCCTTTAAGGCCCAAGTATATACTATATAGGTACATGGATCCTTTGGGTTTGAGGTTCAGGTTGCTTACAACCTATAGCCCACTTATAAGCCCCTTAAGTACCCTAGTTGGGTTACGAACTACCATGAGCCTCTAAGTAGCCCTACAATACAGTACCCTCAGAGAAGGACTTGTACCTTGAACAAATCTTGGGGTAGAGCCTTCTCCTTTCACATGTATACTTTCTAGTTCTTAGTAAGGAATCATAGGCGCTTTATCTCAAGGGGCTATTGGGGGACTCGACTCCCTTTTTCCGACGCCAATACGGGGTTTAGGGTCAGGCGGGTTGTTCTACGTTCCTAGGTCGACCTGAGGAACGCAAGGGGTCCATGTACCTACTGTACATGGTATACGTGGGCCCTGACGCTGTGTCGTATGCCACTGTTCACATGACGGCGACACCTTGTATAAGCCCTAAGCCCCTAAACTCTGTCTATAAACCCTAATCCCCAAGCCTTACGCAACCCGTAAGTGAGCCTGGCACTTGGCTGAGGCTGCAGCCTCTGACGGCTGCCTTGCCGAAATTTGACAAGCAGGACAGTCGGACCTTGCATGGGTTGAAGAGGTTCTTGGCCTGAGAGTGTAGCATACGCCATGGTATTGTGGCATGAGCGCCCCAAGATCGCCCCCCAAAAAAGGATTCAACACGAAGCAATCCGGAGCCAACCCATCCCAAGCCAGCCAAGCCGATTTCAAACACCTTCGAATATGAAACTAGCTTCGGGCTTGTAGCTTAGTTGCCTCACCGAAACTTGACGAGTCCTTCCCTGATCCCTAAACCCTAAACCTTAAACCCTAAACCCTAAACCCTGAATAAACTGGCGCAGGCCATGGAAAGCCTCGTGAACGGCGTTCCGGCCTGCAAGTTGTGCGTGTATATGGGTTCCGAGAGTTTAGGATTTGAGCCATTTAGGGCTTAGGGTTTAGGTTATGTGCAAGAAGCTGCCCAGCGTCAGTCAACCCCAACAGCCCTCAACCACCAAAAAAAGGCCCAAAGGCCCTACCTCCCCCCCCCCAAAACAACCGAAACAAGCACCCAAAGCCCCAAACACCTCCCCTCCCCCCCCAAAAAAAAGCAACAGCAATAAGAACAACAATATATAATAACAATAAACCGTGACAATATTAACATTAACAGTAATAGTAGTAATAGTAGTAATAGTAGTAATAGTAGTAATAGTAGTAATAGTAGTAATAGTAGTAATAGTAGTAATAGTAGTAATAGTAGTAATAGTAGTAATAGTAGTAATAGTAGTAATAGTAGTAATAGTAGTAATAGTAGTAATAGTAGTAATAGTAATAATAGTAATAATAGTAGTAATAGTAGTAATAGTAATCATAGTAATAATAATCATGGTAATAATGGTAATAATGGTAATAATAGTAATAATAGTAAATAGTAATAATAGTAATAGTAATAATAGTAATAATAGTACTGATAGTTCTAATAGTACTAATAGTACTAATAGTACCAATAGTACAGATAGTACTAATGGTAGTTGTAGTAATAATAGTAACAATAGTAATATTAATAATAATAATAACAATAATAATAACGGTAATACTAATAATAGTAATAGTAGTAATAATAGTAAGAATAGTAAGAACCGTAAGAATAGTAATAATAGTAATAATAGCAATAATAGCAATAATAAAATTAATAGTAATAATAGCAATAATAGCAATAATAGTAATAAAGCTTAATAATAGTAATAATAGTAATAGTAGTAATAATAGTAATAATCGAGTAATAATAGTAATAATAGTAATAATAGTAATAATAGTAATAATAGTAATAATAGTAATAATAGTGGAAATACTAATAACAGTAATAATAGTAATAATAGTAATAATCAAGATGTTAATAACACACAAATAATGATAACAATAATAAATTTCTGCGCCAAGGCACCAAAGAGCTCCAGGGGCACTTTGCTGAGATGGAGCTTGCCGTGCAATCCATCCAGGGCTTCATCGAGGTTTCTCAGGGTTTAGGGCGTATAGGGGTTTAGGGTTTAGGGTTAACGGTTTAGGGTTTAGGGTTCAGGGTTTAGGGTTTGGAGTTTGGGCTTTAGAGGATTTGTTTAAAACTAGTTTTAGGCCTATCGCCTTTTGAGAGTTTATATAAGGGGTTTAGGGTTAAAGTTGCTTTGTGTTGTTTGGACTTGGGGTCTTTTTTAGGGGTGTTTGGGTGTGAGGGCGTTTGAGGGCTTTGGGGCTGTTAGTGTTTTAGGGTTGAGGTTGAAGGCTTTTTTGAGGCTAGGGTTTGAGGGCTTAGGTTGTTTTGTTGGGGAAGTTTGGTGTTTGGGGGGGCGTTATTTGGAAGCCCTTGTGGCTGAATAAGTAGGGTTAGCAGGGTGGGTTGTGGGGATACTTCTAGGCTTTCTGGGCGAAGAGCTTCTAAGCAGGGGGTTGGTTTTGAGTGCTCTCTTGAGGTATCGGATTTGGGCTTCTGTTTCTGTTTTCTTGGGGTTTAGGGTCGAGTGTTTTTGTTTCGGGTGTAGGGTCCTGGTTGCTTCCGCTCTCTTCCGGCAATTTAAGGCTATGTTTTCTTCTCTTGCGGTCAGCAGGTTCCAGTCTAGGCCCAATTTAAACCATGGACCTGCCCAACAACCCGGAACCCTCATCCCGAAACCCTGATTACACCTAATTAAACGCGGAACCCTAAAGCCTAAACCTAAACCCCAAAACCTAAACCCTAAACCCTAAGCCCAAGCAGGTCCTTGGAGGGGAGTACGAGACTTTCAGGCTCGCCGCCCTGGCCTCAGCCTTTGCAAGGTGCTTGATATCTCACGTTGGCTAGAGGAACCTATGTTGGGCTTTTCCCCTTATAACAGTCCTTAATAGGGCCTTTGGTACCCCGATTATCATCTCTATTACTTCAGGACTGTTAGTATAAGCGGGAACATCCCGAAAATTAGCCGTTTTTCCCTTCGGGTAAGGAATTCTAGAAGACTGAGTAGATCTTGCTTTTCAGCAGAAACATGGGTTGCTCTAGGGCACCGTGTTCATTCTTCGGTTCCTGGGGGGAGGGGTCTCGAGCCCAGGTACCGAAACGCCCCCAGCCAGCTCCAGACCAACGACTTCCGCCAAACCTAAGCCCTTACAAGCCAGGTAAACCCCTCAAGGCCCAAACCCGCTTAGGGTTTAGGGTTTAGGGTTTAGGGTTTAGGGTTTAGGGTTTAGGGTTTAGGGTTTAGGGTTCAGGGGAACCGCCCAAGCTCCTGAACCCCCAGCCTCTTACCTTGATATCCAGTAAAGCCCCCAAGCCTGCAAGATCCCTCCTCTACGTGAGCTTGGCCTTGACATACACCCTGCGGTAAAACCCTAAACCCCAGTTCAAGCCTGCACATCCTTCAGCAAACTCTCCCAATATCCAGAAGCCCTGAGCCCTAGATCTGACAGTAAACTTCCCCAATGCCCGTTCCTCCATGCCAGGTTGGTAGCCTGGCCAACAACAGCATGGCACCGGGATTCCGGAGCAAAATCCCGGCTCCGCGGCCAGGATGCACGTGGCTTCAGCGTTTAGGCTTCGCGGTTCAAGGCCGCGAAAAAGCAGTAGGGTTTTAGGGTTCAGGATTCAGGGTTTAGGGGTTAGGGTTCAGGGTTTAGGGTTTAAGGAACCCCCAATAGGGTACCCCCCCCCCAGCCCCCCAGTTTGGGAAGCCTCCGTCTTGGGGGGATCTTCGACAGCTGGTGTGGGTTGGCTTGCAGAGTCCTAGGCCAAACCTCACTGACATGGTCAACCTCTCACAGTTCGTCGAATCCGCGCACTTCGGCTGCAGCAAGTGCAAGCAGGGCCCGACTTGGGGATGTTGTAGGGTTTAGGGTTTAGGGTTGGGGTTTAGGGTTTAGGGTTTAGGGTTTAGGGTTTAGGGTTTAGGGTTTAGGGTTTAGGGTTTAGGGTTCAGGGTTCAGGGTTTAGGGTTTAGGGTTTATGCAAGAGACGGAAGATAAGCTGCTTCCTGCACCTCGAGAAGCCCTAGTGTCCAACAGCAGAGCAACATAGTAGGGGCCTAAGGAAATTCAATTATTCCCACCGTGTCATCCGCACATATTTATGGTATAAACCACGCCCACCCCCCACCCCCTGCCCCCAATAAAATCACATTCAATGAAGAAATTCAGAGGCTACCTTCCCTTAGGGTCCATCTACCTGTATGGTATATACTTGGGCCTTAAGGGCGTTTCCATATAGTAGCTGTAGGGCCCAAGTATATAATACAGGCACACGGACCGCTTAGGGTAGGTAGGATTTGGTGAGTCCCTAAACCCTAGACCCTAAAACCCTAAACCTTAAACTCAAACCCTAACCCCTGAACCCTACCTCCAAAACTATATTAAATATACTATATGCATGGACCATCATAGGGTTTTCTCCTCCTCCAGGCACTTTCGCAGCCTGGTGGCCCTGAACGTCGTGCGCGACTGGGCATCGCTCGGGGCGGAGGAACAGAAAGCAGTCGTTGAGGCCTGCTTATAACGCGCAAGGGATTCAGGGCCTTAGGGTTTGGGGGCAGTTTAGGGTTCAGGGTTTAGGGTTCAGAGTTTATAGGGCTTAGGTTTAGCGAGGGTTTAGGACCTATTGAAGCTGTTGGTTGCAGCTTGTTCCTTACGTGATGCAGAGAGCTTCAGAGCAAGATTCTGCGCGCTCGATTGACAGAAGTGTTTCGGTGGTCGAACCCTATAATCTATAACTGCCTGAGGAATTGCTCTATGTCAATTTTCATAAGATCCAAGCGAGTATTGAAAGATCATATTGTGGTTGTAGGATTACCCGAACGCTGGCAACCTGAACGCCAATACGCCCTAGACCACTTGTAGGTTCATGGTACTTAGTAACCCAGATAACTGTACTGTAAGCCCACTTATCACCCTGTGAGGGTACTCAAGGGCCTGATAAGGGTTTAATGACACTTATCATTGGGTTAGTAAGTACCCTGAACCTCCAAGCAATGTCTGAACCCAAAACCCCAAACCCTAGACCCTGTAGTCCCTGAACCTTTCAGGCGGCTGGCTCGGTGGTGTCATCGGCACAGACAGTGATTCAGGAAGTGCGACGTTCCAAGGACCCTGGAGGGCTGAGGGTTGAGGGTTTAGGGTTGAGGGCTGAGAGTTGAGGATGCGCCCCCTTTGCTTCGGGATTTAGCTGGGCCATGGGAATCATGTAGGTGGCCTCAATGATTCGCATAGCGTTGCGGGGGTCATGCTGGCGAAAGCCTGTCGAAGTCAACCAGTAAAGAAGATGTCCTCCACATCTGCAGGAATAGTTCAGAGCACTGAACCAGTCCAGCTTGCTGCAGATGGATTGCAGCAGTTGAAGCATAGCATCATATGTCTGTGACAAAGGTCCAGAATCTGTGCAGGAATGTCATGCGGCTTAGGACATCTACGTGTGAGATTCCTAAGTTCAATCGTCTAATTAACAAGTTGGGGGGATATGATAGTATACTTGATACCCCTAAACCCTAACCCTATAATGTGCAGTTACGAATGTAATGAGCTTGTGAATAAGTGACCGAAGTAATTGTATGAACATGTATGAACTGAGTGAACGAAGGGAGTGAACGAAGCGCGAGGTTTATGATGCAAGCAAAGTGACCGAAGTGAATCTGTTTTCTCGCACCCAAGGAAGAAGAAGTCAGAAGAAGTCTTTTATATGGGCGCATACATGAAGCTTTAGCCTCTGGATCAAACTATACATATATATATATATATATATAACATGCATATATCAAATGGCACGCGTGCATGTAGCGTTTACTTTTTGCGTGCAGCATGTACGGCGTGCGAAAAAAATCTTTCCCCCCCCCCCCCCTCCCCGCCGCCCACGCCCTGTTAATATTCGGGTGCGACCATGTACTGAGTCCTACCCCCCCCCCCCCCCCCCCTATTACTCGGAGTCACGGGGTGTTTGGGTTGAAGACTTCAGGGTTTCGGGTTTGGGGTCAATGGGGTGTAGGGTTTAGGGTTTAGGGTTTTGCGTTTAGGGTTTGGGGTTCAGAGGAACCCAAGACCCTAGGCATGCCGTTACCCTGAACCTGAGACCCTACACCTGAAGCCTGAGACCGCAAGATTCTTGTGGACACGACCGTCATTCTCAAGCCCGATAGCACATTCACGCCTTTATCGGGATATGGTTCCGCTCATGTTTTTTGGGGACTTTAACCTATTAAAGATGACTTCATGCTGCATCATCGCATATCTCAAGTCAAAGCTTCTGGGATCTAGTGCTTGGCGTTCTTTTGCTTCACAAGGCTTCAATCTGATAGAGGCTGTTCAGTGTATTCAGCTTTCAAGGCTTTCAAACGTGCAGGGCTTCTACGGTTTGGGGGCTTGCGGCAACTTGCCCCGTCCATGGTGCTGTCCCAGCTGCTTTGCCTGGCATTTTTCCAGGCACTTTTTCTGACCATCAACTTGGTTGGCGCTATACTTGCAGCAATCTTCTTTGATGAAGATGCCCATGGCGTGCATTTACTCGCGCTCGTTTGGGCCGGATATGCTTTTGGGGATGGGCTGCTGGTAGTTGCGGCCAAGAGATGGACCTGCTGTCATCTGTGGGGCGAGTGCTTGCTCAGGGTCCTTATGGAAGCTGGACAAGGCGCTCTCTATGTATACTTCTGCCGGGCGGATGATGCAATGATGTGGCTCTTCATTGTGCTTGTGGCAATTCAGATACTTCTCAAGTTGATCGAGACCATGCTTTCCTACAAGGCGAGTACAAAGGACGAGGTCAAAACGCTGGATGCAAGCGATGAGACTCAACACATTGTGCCGGTGACGGGTCTAGCAGACTCCTGCACTTGTTGTCGCCCCGACTACCTCAAACTAGTGCTGCATTTAGTTGCGGACATCCTTATTGGAGTCCTCCCGCTTCTGTTCCAGAAAGAGTCGCCATTCCGCGACAAGTGGTATCAGATCTATGTGTGCGTGATGATTTGGTGGAAGCCGCTGCTACTCCGTTTGCTGCCGCTGGCTGATACTGGTCGTACGACACGGCTGTTCTGCTTCAATCTCGTTACTAGCTTCTTGCTCTATACCGGCATGGTTTGGTCCTGGGGCCTCTCTCCCAACTTACTCGCAACCTGGGATCGCGTCTACACCATCATTGGCATGGTCTTCAGCTCTCTGATATGCCTTGGTTGCTGCTGCGCGTGTTGCTTTAATTTGTGGGTTTTGCTCTTCTTGCCCACGTGCAATTAAGCTGCACGGGCTCTGTCTCGCACAAATTGTCTACTTTTGTGCAGTACATATTTACATGACTCGAAAGATGTGCATCATTTCCCCTTCCAAAAAGTCGTAGGAACCACTATGCCCGGATCCCAAGCACAGAATCCAAAGCAGTAGGTAGGAATGTGAGCACATAGGGAATCTAAACCCATAGACTAGGACCCAGAGTAGGCCCTTATTCCTTTTTTTTGGGGGGAGGGTTTGGGATCAAGTATAAGCCCCTAGTGTATCAAAGGACTCAAACTAAAAACCCCTCAACAGACCCCTTGATGTCGCATTCCAAATGCATGGGGCTGTGCAAGTTTCACTGTCGCGGCCACAAGCTGCGACTGACCTTTTCAACTTTCGGCTTTGGGGTTCTGGCCTAAAGTATACAATGAAATGCAGCATATTATGTCTACGAATATTATCACTACTAGTATTCTTGTTTATATATGTATAGAAATACATAGACATATTAAACTCTTCTTTTTGGGTACCTTGTTTTATAGCTACAATTTTTAGTATTGTTTAGCTGTCTATCTATCTACCTATCTATCTGTCTACCTATCCACATATATATACATACATATATGTACACACATATTAAATCAGGGTGTGGCTCAGAGTAGGCTGGGATCAACGCCTGCCCCGGCAAGATGTCATGGGCTGGCAGATCCGCGCAAACAAGGAGAAACTGGAACGGTCCCTGTTGCACATGAGATGGGGTTTGGGGTTTGGGGTTTGGGGTTTAGGGTTTAGGGTTAGGGTTTAGGGTTTAGGGTTTAGGGTTTCGGGTTTAGGGTTTAGGGTTTATAGGGTTTAGGGCTTAGGGTATAGGGTTTAGGGGCTATGTCCCTTGTTTCTGTAGGGCCTTGCATGTTGATATGGGAGACTATCAGGGCTAGATATGGTGTCAATACTGTAGCTGACATGATGCAGGTCGTTTTTTTTGCCACCAGAATACACTCACCCCAAACCCCAAACCCAAAACCCCAAAGCCTAAGTTGAAAGCAAGGACAAGCCGCGCCTTTCGTTAAGTTTCAGGTGAGCTCTGACAGCCTTCGTGGTCGCAGTAGCACTGTGCCTACCTACAGAATGTACCCGAAGTGTACTACCCAGAGGCCACTGCATTGAATAGTGGCATCGCTTGTTGCGCAAGGTATATATAAATCTGCAAATGACGATGGCCTGAAAACTGCAGGGGCTCATTATTGTCAAGCAGGGCTAGAAGCAGGGTAGCAAAAGTTAGAATTTGTGATGTTCCCCCCTATACAAACAGTCCTTAATGCAGGGGTTCTAGTACCCCCCCCCCCCACCATTATCATCCCCAGTAAGGACTGTTAGTATGTTAGTACAAGGGGGGGCAACATCCCAAAGTCAGAATGACAAATGGTTGTATTGCGGCATCCAGGCCCGGTTCATGGCATCAGGAGGATCCTTGGGATCATGGATTTTGTTGTTGTTTTTTTTTTTTTTGTATGGGTGTAGGGGGTTTAGGGATTTAGGGTTTAGGTTTTAGGGTTTAGGGTTTAGGGTTGGGTGCTTGGGATGTTCCCCCGTATACTAGCTGTCCTGAATAGGGGTTATAGTAGGGCGTACTATAATCCCAACCAACTGCAAGTGAGAGGTAGTCACTGGTAGTATAAGGGGTAACATCCCAAATGGGTACTTGTACGAGTTTTTTAGGGTCAAGAACAACTTTGAGCCTTTTTGCCTTTCTCAGGACGGTGTGGTCAAGGATGCCACCGCTATCGCCACTCGTCATCAATGCAGCTATCTGCGACCTACCCAGATGCTGTTGGCTCGAAGTCGAATTCTGCTCCCTGTAGCCGACCCATCCTTGAACCCTGACCCCTAAACCCTACACCCTAAACTCAAACCCTAAACCCTAAACAGAAAGCCTCCAACACCCGAGCGTTATCACAACGTCACAAGGTCAAAGTGGCCACGTCCAAGGTGAAGGACTTGTGCAGTTGCGTGCGGCTTGCGCTGGGTGGTGGCTTTACACCATCCCAATATATACACTATAGGGGTCCATGTACCTAGTCAATATATGTTTGGGCCGTGAGGCTACTATGTGGGAACCCCTTTAAGGCCCAAGTATATGCTATCTAGGTACAGGGACCCTTACGGATATATGCATATATATATATATATATTTATTTATGTATATGCATATATATATATATATTCACGTATAAATAAATAAATAAATATAAATAAATATATATATATATATATACATACATACCTATATATATATATATACATACATATATATATATATATACATATCAATTCCCGTTGGTCTGCTTGCACCAGGAAGAGTTCGCACTGATAGCCACAAGCGCTGTGGTCGCCGGCATTGACACGAAGGATGGCTGCCGCCTACCACCGGCACGGCCTGTGCGGACACGTATTTTGTTCATATTCTACGAATTGCTTTTCTTGCTTACAATATGTACTATGTGTATACAGTTGTATATACACACACTACGAGCATGTCCACGCCGGTCGATGAACATCCGCCCCCTGGCGCCCCTGGGAGAGTGTTAGACTTCAACTCCAGAAGGATAAGTCGTTGTGCCATCTTTCCCTCTGCTTCCCCCCCTAAACCCTAAACTCTAAACCCTAAACCCTAAACACCCTAAACCCTATAAAGCCTAAAGCCTAAACCCGAAACCCTGTCCCTCTACATCTGCCTCTGTGCACGGCTGGATGCTCAGCACCTATCACAGCAAGGCAAGCTCAATTTAAGCTCCCACCCTCCCAACCCTGCATCGTGTGAAGGACAACCTGAACTACGCAGCCTACTTGTATTTGTGTGCTGCAGGCGCTGGGTGAGATCTTGTGCAGTCCTTCCGAGTATGGGCGTCGCCCCCGCGCTGGATTCTGCAAGACTTCTCAAGTAGATATGCCGTCTTCGAAGTGGCGACGCAGTATGCCAGAAGGCACTTGCCTAGGACGCCATGCCTTGAAAGTCCCTAAACCCTAAACCCCAAACCCTAAACTCAGCCCCCAGCCTGGATCGTTGCAACTTGCAGGCGGCTGTGTGGGATGCGCTGTCTTCATGGCCTTCGTGGCCTTGGCCTATGCATCTCGGATGCGGCAAAAGCATGGTAAGGGGTTCAAGCACAGCTGCTCTCCCTTCAGTCGAGCCATAAATGACGCCGCAAGTCCCGAAGTTCTGCAGCCCGACAAACTCGCTGTCTTGCAATTGTAGCAGGTGAAGACATCGAACGCTAAAAAAACCGTGCCTAAGACCCAAAGAGTACCCGAAGCCTCCGAAGACTCCGAAGCAGCTTGTTGTGGCCTGGCAAAAACAAGCTCCTGAGTTCTTGTTGATGGAAATCTACACAACTTGCACAACCCTCACATTTCTCAGCATACCGGCTAGCAAATATACAGGTCATCACATTGAAGCCATGGCAAAGCATGCCGCCAGGCATGCTATCACTGTACTTATTGCTGTACTTATAACCGTCTTAGGGCACTTAAGGGGCTTATAAGTGGGTTATAGGTACAGTGATAATCCTGAACCCTAAACCCTAAACCCTAAACCCTAATAATTGGGTAAGAAGTATCATGAAGCTCCAAACAGGCATGCTATCTGGAGTACATCTACGAAAACCGGGGTATTGCCAAAGCCTACGAGATCACTGCGAAGGATCGGCAAGGCCTCTGTGGCAGCAGGTTTAGGGTTTTGGGTTTAGGGTTTAGGGGGCTTTGCATGCTCAGGTCGTGAGTCATCTGCGTCGGGCAACCGTGTTAGGATGGGGAGGGTACCCTGTACCTTTTGCGGCGCTGTGATTTTCACCGAATCCGAGTAACCCTGCCACTTCCTCCTCGAGGAGCGACTGCTTGGAGGTTCATGGTACTTAGTAACCCTATTATAGCTGTACTTCTAACCCAATTATAACCTTATTAGGGTACTTAAGGGGCTTATAAGTTGTCTATATCTAAACTTATCATCGGGTTCTCAAGTACCCTGATTCTCCAAGTGGGTACAGCGCTAGCAAACACTCCACTCCCCACAGCACCCGGGAGGCTGCTGCTGGTCCTGTGGCGGGCTCAGAGCTGTGGAAGAAGGGGTGCAAAAAGGAACCCTAAACCCTAAACCCTAAACCCTAAACCCTAAACCCTAAACCCTAAACCCTGAACCCTGAACCCTGAACCCTGAACCCTAAACCCGAAGCCAACTTTCGACCTTCCGGCTCAGGCATCGACACCGTGGGTCAGTTTGTGGCCTGGCTGTGCAAATCAGACCTTGTTGAACACGAGCAATGCGTCTTGCGTTCAGATGGTGTGGGGGGATGCGATGACAGGTTGTCAGCTCATGCTCGTTTGGGTTTTCGTGTGTTTGTAGATGGGGACGAGATGGGCCGACATGCCTTTGCCAGCAAATGCGCCTGTAGGAGCTCTGAGATATACAGCGCACATTTTTCTTTGGTGGTTGAGTTTCTGATTGTACCCACCACCACCGGGGAAGCAAGCATTGTACGGGGTATCGTTCAGGTTGAGAGTATCGTTAGGATTGACTGACCCGGCTGCTATTCTGACTACTCCGACCCTTCTCCAGATGGAAATACTTAAGGAAGAGGGAGCTCGTTGATACAAGTTTAGTACTGGAACAACCCATGGACGCCCTTCGGCAACCACTTTGAAAGATGTATTTACCTACCATAGATCACTGAGAACAAAACCCTGGCGGACTACATGGGAGTCTTGAGGTAGGGATACTCAGACTAAGCGTTGCTGAAAACCCTAAACTCTAAGTCCTAAACCCTAAACCTTAATTCCCTAGACCCTAAATTTTAAACCCAACTCATGCTTTCTTTGGAGGAAAGGGATCCCGCGGTCGATTTTGTTAACGAACAGGTTCCCTTCCCTTCGAAATGCAGGGGTTGCAGGGTTGAAGAATCCCCGAATTCGCTGAGAACACACTGATCAGCTGCAAAAAGAGCCCTAAGGCTCCAAAATAGCCCAAAGTAGGTATCATTTATAAACTTTGGACCCCAATGTAGGTACTATTTGCATACCTGGAGCTGAGCTTACGGCTGCAGGTGCACGTCCTCGGCTTCTACTTGCTGGTGTTGCTCCAAGATGGCGACCCTTGGCTAGTGAAGATTTGGGTTGGTTCAGCAACCCAAAAGGGTCCTAAGCACCCCCATAGTAGAAAGTAGGGTCTCTATATGTTTCCATAATAGGAGTTGCTATTCTGGTTTGGGTAAGGTGTCCCCCCCATATAGGTACTTAGGACCTTTTCGGAATGAGGGTTCACCTCGACTTGCAGCCTGGCCCTTTTTTTCGGAGTTTGCTGCGTCGTTCGTCTGCTAGTCCAGTGCTAGACCGAGTTGCCTGGCCTGAGAGATCTTCTCAGCTTTTTTTTCGGAAGGTCTCCATACTTCTTGCGGCGGGCTCAGTCACGTCTGAGCAGAAGAGGGCGGTGAGTCAATCTTCTCAGCAATGGCCGGCCTCATGGGCAGAGGGACCGGTAGTGCCCAAACGGTCTGGGCACAGGTGGAACGTCGTTCATACGTTGAGGCTTATATGGAGTTGATGGTTTGCAGGGTTTAGAGTTTTTGCTGTTTAGGGTGCTTGGGGCTTCTGCTGTTAGCAGGGTCTAGGTTTGTATGTGGGGTTGGGGTTTAGGACGGGCTCAGGGTCTAGATCCTGAAAGTTTAGGCCATGAGGGCCAGGGCAACTCCCAGAAGCCTCAACTGATAATTATATGACCCTAGACTCTCCTGAGCCCTAGAAGGGTTTAGGGTTTAGGGTTTAGGGTTTAGGGTTTAGGGTTTAGGGTTTAGGGTTTAGGGTTTAGGGTTTAGGGTTTAGGGTTTAGGGTTTAGGGTTTAGGGTTTAGGGTTTAGGGCCTCTGAGGTCCTCGTCGCCCTCTTCCTCTGCCTGGTCGGGGATGTCGAGCTGGGCCTCCAGTTCGGCTGCGACTTCGCCCCGCTGCTGTCGGACAACCAGCGCCTCGGACGTTTCTTACCCTCAAAGGGCGAAAAGGAGGGTACCCTAAACCCTAAACCCTAAACCCTAAACCCTACACCCTAAACCCTAAACCCTAGACCCTAGACCCTAAACATTATAAGTGACGTTAGGGTTCTTTGGGGGGGTTCATTTTTAGCCCTAAACCCGAAGGGTCTTAAGTACCTGCATAGTAGAAAGTAGGGTTTCTAGAATAGGAATTACTATTATGGTTTGGGTAAGTCGGGTAAGTGTCCCCCCTATAATTACTGAGGACCCTTTGGGAAACCCGGAACCCCGCTTGGAGGTTCAGGGTACTCATAACCCAATTATAGCCCACTTACGAGCCCCATAGGTACACTAGAATTGGGTTACAAGTACAGTTCTCATTGGGTTTCTGAGTACCATGAACCTCCAAGTAAACCCTATACCCCAAATCGCAGCTTCTTGAATTCACATTATTGTCAATTGTCCTTGTCTTGCTCTTGTTCTTCTGCGTGTCCTTGCATGTAGCCCAAACCTCAAACCCTCAAAGAATCCGTGCCTCAAAACCTGAAGACCCTCAAGACCTTCAAGACCCTCAAGACCCTCAAGACCAAGACCTTCAAGACCCTCGAGACCCTAGACCGAAAAGCTCAAAACCCTAAACCCTAAACCCCAACCTAAACCCTAAACCCTACACCCTAAACCTTAAAAAAAAAAAACAACCAAGCTCGCTGCAAGGGCTTGCACTGCCACCATGGCGAATTTCAGCGCCGCGGTGCAACGGGACCTGCTCGATGGGAAGGCGCACCGGCGAGGGTCTGAGGAGTGTGCCAGTTTAGGGTTTAAGGTTCGGAGTTTTGGAGTTTGGGGTATTTACGAGTTTAAGAGTTTAGGAGTTTATAGGAGTTTAGGAGTTGCTTTAGGAGCTAAGGAGTTTAAGAGTTTAGGAGTTCAGGAGTCTAGAGTATCTGGTTGATGGGTCCCAGCTTCCCTTTCTTCGTCTCACAACAAGGAGGCCAAGCCATCCGAAGCAATTGGGGTTTAGGGTTTAGGGTTTCGGGTTTAGGGTTTAGGGTTTAGGGTTTAGGGTGTATGGTAAACTCATGTTGTCACTCCCGCGTCGATCTTTCGTCCTGTGGGACCTTAGAGCCCATACCCCCTAAACCCTAAACCTAAACCCGAAAGACCCCACAGCCATGGCCACGAGACAGGACTGCTCTGCAGCCGGGACATTGATCTGCGAGGGTGTCTCAGGCAGCTCGCCCTTGGGGGGGGGAGGGTTAAGGGGGTAGGGGGTTTAGGGTTTAGGGTTTAGGGTTTAGGGTTTAGGGTTTAGGGTTTAGGGTTGAGGGAGTCATTTAAGGGCTTAGGGCATGGGCTATTAGGCCTTAAAAACCCCCCAACCAACCCTATAAAGGGCCTGTTTAAGGGGTTCTAGGGTCTAGTAGCCCATGTAGTTAGAGGTTAGGGCATCCTTGCAGCCTGAATGAGGGTTGAGGGTTGGGGATTAGGGTTTATGGAACCTAAACCGAAAGAGGGTTCAGGGCTTAGGGCCTAAGGGCCCGAGCCCCAAAACCAGGGGATCTTAGGGTTTCGGGTTTGGAGTTTGGGGTTGGTAGGGCTTAGGGCTTAGGGCTCAGGGCTTAGGGCTTAGGGTTTAGGGTTTAGGGTTTAGGGTTTAGGGTAGAGGGTTTAGGGTTTAGGGGCTTAGGGTTTAGGACCCTACAACCCTAAGCCACAAAGCACAGGTGCCAGCCTCTAGATCTAGCGAGGGAGCCGGCATTGTCCGGGGCGTTTTTTGAAGCTAGGGGCCTACCTGAAAGCTCTACTGTTTAGGGTTTCGGCTTTGGGGTAGTGTAACCTCATCTTCAATGGAAGCCATAACAGGCCCCCAAAAAAGGAAGTACATGGCAGTCTCAGGTAAACCTTAATGCGTCCGGGAACCCCTACAAGCTGCCATGATGCCAGGGAATCCCAGCGTGGTTCGGGCCACGATGCTGCCTGGCTGCACTAGCCGAAGATGGTGCTTCCTAGGCTCTAAACCCTTGTCCACGAAGATGGAGTTGGGTTTGGGGTTCAGGGTTTCGGGTTTAGGGTTTAGGGTTTCGGGTTTCGGGTTTAGGGTTTCGGGGGGGATTCGCCCAGGGTGCACAGCACCGGGGGTCACCAGTCCTTTGATGGAAGATTTGGGGACAAAAAGCAGCCGCTCTGTGGGTGCAGTTGCGAAGACCCCCAAGATGCAGCATCGACCCGAAAAACCCTTTACGAAGGAAGATTTATTACTATAGGGGCCTTTAGGGTTTATGGTTTAGGGTTCAGGGTCGTTTACTGTTTAGGGCCTTGATAATTAGAACAGGGTTTGGGGGGGGGGGGGGGGTATTGTGGTATAATTATGAAGGGACCATAAGGGAATACGATCAGTAGTTATTCCGACCCGTGTATTCGGAGCCCTATAAGGAGTTGTCTCTTATTATGGAACATTCCAGTCTCTGGGTGGCCGAACTCCCTGTACACCTTATCTGCCCTAAACCCCGCAAGCGAATAGATCCCTTAGGATCCCTTTATGGCAACTTCAGGAATAGTCCCTTCTTATGGAACAGTCGAGTCTCTGGGTAGCCGAATTCTCTACGTTACACCTTCTCCGCCCTAAATCCCGAAAGCTAATCTCCTGAGACCCCCTGTATCGTCCCAAACTCCGAAAGCCCTAAAACCCTGAAGCCTCCCAGCCACTCAGACCCACTAGTTAAACCGCATAACCCAACTAAACCCCCCCTAACCCACCCCAACCCTAAACCAGCCTCGCCCTAAACCCTAAACCCTAAACCCTCAACCCTAAACCCTAAACCCTAAACCCTAAACCCTATAACCCTAAACCCTAAACTCTAAACTCGAAAACCCCAGAGTTCCGCAGGGTGGCTGCCGCGGTGGGCGCAGTCGCATCCTGCTGCATCCCCCGCCGCCTCATCGCCGCTTGGCTTTAGGGCGTTAGAAGGTTGATAGGTTTATAGGTTTAGGGTTTAGGGTTGAGGGTGTTTGTAGAGTTTATAGGTTTAGGATTTAGGATTTAGGGTTTATGGTTTAGGGCGTTTATAGAGTTTATAGCGGTTCGGGCGTTATAGCATGTAGGGTTTGTACCAGACGGAAGATGTTCAAACTTAACTAGCTACTCACTATTTCATTTCACCGAACTCTTTAATTCAGGTTCCAGGAGTTCAGGTTGAGCAGGGGTCTGCTTGAAGGTTCATGGAGGTTGCAAGACCCCAAGACAGGATCAGTTGCAATTCGAGTGTCCCCTTACTATGACTGAAACTGATAACCCTTAACCCTATAAACCCTCTAATCCCTACAAACCCTGTAACCCCTATAGCCCCTGTAAACCCTATAAGCCCTATAAACCCTTCGAACCCGAAACAACTACCCATCAACTTCCAAGTAGGAGGGGAAGCGAACTTCGTCCCAGACCCAAACCGACGCATGATGACTGGATGAGCTCCTTTATGGAGGCTGTAGCCTTCTAGCAGAATGTCGTGCTTAGGGTTTAGGGTTTAGGGTTAAGGTTTTTAGGGTCCTAGACCCTAAACCCTAAATCCTGAAACCGAGAGCTGCTATGTTGGGTGCTCCTCGAAAGCAGGCTCTTTCCCTCAGTGCTCAGCAGAGTATCGAGACCGCCGAGGCGTCCCCGCGTTTTTTTTTTTTTTGGGGGGGGGGCCTTTTTGTGCCTTCGCGTGGCCCGGTCTTTCGGGCGTGCCCTTATTACAATATGGTTCTGGGGCTACCAAGCAACGTGTCTTCAGGAAATACGGTTTAGGGTTCCTGGGATTTAGCGCTTGTGGGCTTTGTTGGGTTTAGGATTCAGGTTTTCAGGGGAAGGGTGTGCAGGAATGTGTTGGGTTTCAAGTTCGCCCTTAGACATGAAGATTCCAGAAACCCCACCAGGAGGCACGGTTTACGGTGTAGCGTTTGGGGCAAGTATGGCGGCTTGACAAACTTGCGTTCTGAAGGCCAGGCTTACATCCACCCACGCGCTGTCAAGTGAACCCTGAACACCTACAACCCCAAAAAACACCAGCCCTAAAACCCTTAAACCCCAAAGGCCTAGAACCCCCCTAAACCTCAAACGCCAACACCTTACACCCCCAAAAGCCCTTAAACCCTCAAGCCCGCAGCACGCCCAAAAAGTCCCCCCAAACCATAAAAACCCAAAACCCTACATGCCCCAACAAAGCCCTAGTAACCCTAACGCTCTACAAGCTCTAACACCCCCCCAAATTGCCAGACCTCAAAATTTCAAAGTTTCAACAGCCCTAAAATCCCCAAAGCCCGAAACCCTAAACCCTAAATGTACCCCCCCAACCCCCCACAAACCCTTAGACCCCCAAAGGCCCTTAAAACCCAAACCCCAAACCCAAAATGCCCTAAATGTCCTACATGTCCTAAATGCCCTAAACGTCCCAATATGCTCCCCCCAAAGCCCTTAGAATTCAAAGGTTTAGGGTTTAATAAACCCCAAACCCCAAACCCCAAACCCCAAAACCCTAAACCCCAAACCCCAAACCCTAAACCCTAAACCCTAAACCCTAAACCGAAAGTGCCCCCCCAAAAGCCCTAGAAACCCGAAGCCCTGAGGCCATCGTGGCCTGGAAGCATGGGCTGGCCGAAGCTTCTTCGGAGGCGCCCTGGGTTTGGGGTTTAGGGTTTAGGGTTTAGGGTTAGGGGTTTAGGGTTTAGGGTTCAGGGTTTAGGGTTTAGGGTTTCGGGTTTCTAGGGATCAGGGTTTGGGGTGCTAGGGTTCAGGGTTTAGGCGCCGGGGTCACGGTTCAGGGTGTTTCGGGTGAAGTTCTTAAGGGTCGACACCATGAATCCTAAGGCGTTTAAAAACGCCTTAGGATGCCTGGGCCCTACACCTAGGGTTGAAGGGTTTAGGGTTTAGGGTTTAGGGTTTAGGGCCCTACACCTCCTAAACCTAGGGTTGAAGGGTTTAGGGTTTATGGTATAGACCCTTGCAGGCCCTGACCCCGCTAAACCCTAAATCCGAAACCCCGAACCCCAAACACTAAACCTTAAACTTGTGCACCCTCGAGGCCCCCGACCTGGTCTGGGTGGCGGGTCTTCTAAACTTACAAGGGGGATTCCTGTATTAGGGGTTTGGGCGTCGGCTAAGGTATTCGGAGCTTTCCTCGAATTAAGGGATGTGGGAGCGTCCTGTAACCTGTTGCTCGTCACCTGGCCCCGGAAGCACTACATCCCGGAAGGCCGCAAGCTGCCCAAAGAAGCCCCCTGAACGCGAGCCCCCCTCCAGCAAGCCCAGGCGGAGAAAGTTTGACAAAGTGGCTGGTGACCTGCGACAAGGCCGGTTCAGGTGCAGGAAAGGCTGATGTGGATAATGCGGCCGAGTGTTGTACCAAAACTTTCGCCTTCCGGACACACTGTGCTGAACATCGACAATTTTCCCAATCTAAACCCTAAACCCTAAACCCTAAACCCCCATGCAGGCCGATTCATTCATGTTTTTTTGTATATGGATGTTGTGTCTTCAGCCAGGCGATGCCCTTACACTGCGACGTGTAGTGCCTCTTGACCCACGCCTGCCATACTTTTCCGCCCTAAACCCTAAACCCTAAACCCTGAACCCTGAACCCTGAACCCTGAACCCTAAACCAATTTTGGCATAAACCCTAAAACAGATTGGCTGTGAGGTCGAGTTGCCAATCCCAGAGCAATCTCCGAAGCACTTCTGGGGGGGGGGGGGGGGAAATACCCTAAACCCTAAACCCTAAACCCTAAACCCTAAACCCTCGCAAGAAGCCCCCTTGTTTTCAAGCCAGTCGCGGGCCCTTCCGTTTTCCTTTCACCCACTCGCGTGCAAAGATGCAGCGTCTCCAGCGCCTTACGGGGCACGTCGCGGCGTCGGTCGCACCTGAGTTGGTGGCTCAGCCGACGGCGGCGATTTCGGGGGCGACTCCCGCGGATGATGACGTGGTGATCTGCTTCTGGGATACATGTGATCTGTTTTCTCCCCTTACTATGGGTTCTTGTGTGTACTCCCTTCTCCCTCATATCCTAATAGTAAACGGAGGGTCCCCCCCCCAACCCAATGGAAACTCGAAACGCGTTTTTAATATTAGGCGGAGGTTTTTGTCCAAATGTCATGTTTTGGGGCCAAAGGGTTTAGGGTCTAGGCTTCAGGCTTTGGAGGGTTTAAGATAGATTCCGCCTCATACCATCCCAACATAGCAGAGCTCTCAAAAAGCATACGTAGCAGAACCCCCGTAAATACATGTACTTTCCCTACTGATCCCCACCTATCCCCAGCTACTAATGTGTTTTTTGTTTTTTTGTTTTTTTCTTGGGGGGGGGGGGGGTGCGATTTCCAGGCAGGAGCATGCATGGTTTAAGAAACGACTTAAGCCTTCAGGATGTTGGTTGGCTTGAGGGTTTGGGAGCCCTAAATCCCCCCCCCCCCCAATTCGGAATAGGGTTTAAACGGCGGGGTCGGTTTGGGCAGGATTCTCCGGAAAGTGTTTTTATTCTTAGGGGTGCGTTTAATAAAAGGGGGAAGGGATTATAGTTTTTGTTTCTTTTTTTCTCCGAGGGTCTTTAAGGGTGCCCTCCGAGGCTGCGCCCTGCGCAGCGCGGTGGGGAAGGCCGGGAAAGGCTTCAAGGAGATGCCGCCGGAAGACTTGTTGGCCGAGGTCTTCAAGGTGGTGATCGAGAGGACGAGCTTGTTTTTCTCTCTTTTTTGTGGGGGGGGGGGGGGGGTTGGAGGGGGGAGTTTAGGGTGCTATAGGGTTTAGGGAGTTTGGGGTCAGAGGATCGTATGTAGGAATGGTTTTTGCCGAGGGGTTTTCTTAGGGGCGGTGATCGGGAGGACGAAGATCGACCCGAAGGAGATCGGCGACTGCGTGATTGGGAACGCGCTGCAGCCAGGCGCCGGTGGCTTCGGCACGAGGATGTCGATGTTCCTTGCAGGCCTTCCCTACGAGGTGCCCATTAGGGTTTAGGGTTTAGGGTTTATAAGGTTTAGGGTTTAGGGTTTAGGGTTTAGGGTTTGCTTGGGACCCAAAGTCCCTATAGAGGAAGTACTTAAAGGCCCAAGTCTTCCCTATTTAGGTACATGGAGCCCTTAGATGACCGAGGTGCCCATGTACACCATCAACCGACAGTGCAGCAGCGGATTGCAGGCGGTTGCCACTGTTGCACAGTCGATCAAGGCAGGCACCATCGACGTTGGCCTTGCAGGGGGTGTGGAGTCGATGTCCACCTACCCGATGGCTTGTGCCTACGACCAGAAGAAGCTGTCGCCGAACGTCATGAAGAATGTGATGGCAAAGGCGTGCATCTTGAGCATGGGCATCACGTCCGAGAACGTGGCGGAGAAGTACAACATCTCCAGGGAGACCCAGGACAAGTTTGCGGAGGCATTGGCACCAAACAAGTTTGACCAAGCATCAAAGAGCGTCATCAAGAACATATTGCTACGCATAATTCAACAATTCAACAGGCCTCCTGGCCGTCCCAGCCCCCTCCGGTCCCCTCGTCCCCGAATCTTCGTGATCTTGGGGTCCTGCGGTGCAGCATGCTTCGAGGTTCAGGGTACTTGGTAACCCAATTATCAGTGTAGCTATAAACTACTTATAAGCCCCTTAAGAACCCTAATAGGGTTATAACCGGCTGATAAGGACAGGTATAACTGGGATTACTAAGTACCATAAAATCCCCCCCAAGTATACATGCATACATATATATATATATACACCCCTAATATATATATATATACGTACATCATCATTTTTTATACCTCACCCCTTTGCGGAGGCGTCGCATGCGAAGGCACTGAAGGCACAGAAGGAAGGCCTGTTCGACAGCGAGATCATTCCGATCAAGACGACACAGACGGACAAGGAAGGGAACAAGAAGGAGGTGGTCATCTCAAAGGACTTTAGGGTTTAGGGTTTAAGGTTTAAAGGGCTTAGGGTTATATAGGGTTTAGGGTTTAGGGTTGGGGTTTAGGGTTGAGGTGGTCATCTCAAAGGACTTTAGGGTTTAGGGTTTAAGGTTAAAAGGGCTTCGGGTTATATAGGGTTTCGGGTTTAGGGTTTAGGGTTGAGGTGGTCATCTCAAAGGACCTTAGTTGGGGCTGGGATTTTGGAGTGCTATACTTGAATACGTTTTTTGGTTTTGGGTTCCTATTGTAGCTACTTATACCCCAAAGTATATACTTTGCTACCAGGGTCTGCTGCGATGTAGGGTTAATGGCTGGGTGGGTAGCCTTGGGACCTTCTTTGGGTTATGTACAATCCCACTTCTCTGTGAAAGGTGAACTTTTTTTTTTTGGGGGGGGGGGGGAGGTCGGCGAGGGTATTCAGTCCCTGAAAAAGAGGACGAGGGCCCTAGGCCCGGCACGACCGTCGAGGCCTTGGCGAAGATGAAGCCTGCGTTCAAGGAAGGTGGCAGCACAACGGCCGGGAACGCCTCCCAGTTGTCGGACGGTGCGGCCTTGGTGTTGCTGGCACGAAGGTCGAAAGCAAAGGAGCTTGGGCTGCCGATCTTGGCGCGTTTCCGGTCGTTTGCGGCCGTTGGCGTCGACCCGCATGTGATGGGCATCGGGCCGGCGTACGCCATCCCTCCTGCCCTCAAGCAGGCTGGTTTGAGTGTTAGCGACGTGGACATCTTTGAGATCAACGAGGCGTTTGCTTCGCAGGCCTTCATGAGCATCGACCACCTGAAAATCCCAATGGAGAAGGTGAACCCCAAGGGCGGTGCCATTGCCCTTGGCCACCCGCTCGGTTGCACAGGCTCGCGGCAGATTGCCTCCTTGTTGCCAGAATTGAAGAGGCAAGGCAAGAAGATCGGGGTCGTGTCCATGTGCATCGGGAGCGGTATGGGTGCCGCGGGCGTGATCGAGAGCGAGCAGTGAGTGAGGCAAGCGAGACAGAGCTTAGCTTCCCTGCGTACCTCTCTGAGCCTTCTCGAGCTGGGGCCTTTGATTTTGATCAATCTGGCTGACCTTGGAACTGCACCCTTCCGCAAATGATTCTTACTATGATACGTAGCAGTATTATCCCCCAAACCCTAAACCCTAAAACCTTAAAGCCTGAACCCCAAACCCTGGAGGAATTATGAGTAGTAGCAAGCAGTGTTCGTAGCGGTAATGCATGCGGTTGCAGAGCGAGGTTGCCAGGTGAAGCGTGAAGGGTGCCTTTTGAGCCACAGATGAGCGGCCGCCAAAACTGAGGCTACGTGCCGTTGCTACTGCCACTGCTGCTGCCGCCGCTTCTGCTGCTACTACTGCTACTGCTACTGCTACTACTGCTACTACTACTGCTACTACTACTACTACTACTACTACTACTACTACTACTACTACTACTACTACTACTACTACGACTACGACTACGACTACGACGACGACGACGACGACGACGACGATCACCAAAGCTCGCCCCCCCCCCCCCCCCCCCCCCTCCCGCCCTCTTAGCCTGGGCTGGCCGAAGCTTCTTCAGAGAGGCGTTTCGGGTTGAGGGTTCTGGGGTTCTGGGGTTGTGGGGTTCAGGGTTGAAGTCTTGGGGTGTTAGGGTTTAGGTTTAGGGTGTTGGGGTTCAAGGTTGTCGGATTAAGGGCTGATACCCCTAAACACCTCGAACCCTTCAGGATTCCAGAACCCTACACCTTCTAAACTCATGGTTGGGATGTTCCCCACGTACGAACAGTCCTTAAAAGGGATTTTTGTACCCGCGATTTGCATCCCTACTAAGTAGGACTGTTAGTATAAGGGGGAGGCATCCCAACCCCAAATGGTGTAGGGATGGACCATCCAGGCCCTCTTCCCCCCCCCGAAACCCCAAGCCTTTTGGGGTGGCAGGTGTTCCCAGAGGCTCCACTAGGCCCCGTAGGTCATATTCCGAACTCATAAGCCAGGACGGGCTATTACCCCTTAAAGAGGCCCTTTATAGAGTTGATTATGGGGATTATAAGGCCGAATAGCCCGTCCTGGAGGGAGGGTTTCGGGCTTCGGGTTGCGGAGTGTTCATCGATTGAGGGTGTCTGGATATTCAGCAGGTGGCTTAGGGTTGCTCGTCCCTGGGCCCCGGAAGCACTACGTCCCTGAAGACCGCAAGCTACCCCAAAGAATCCCTAAACCCGAGACCCCTCTCCAGCATGCCCAGGCGGAGACAGTCTGAGAGAGTGGCTGGTGACTTGCGACAAGTCTGCTTGCGGAGCAGGAAAAGGCTGGTGTTGATAGTTTGCAGATTGTTTTGCGGCCGGGGTTTTATGGTTTCTGTTGTTCCAGGTCGGCAGCTTCTACTGCGGCTGTCGCGTGGT